AGCAAGGATTTTGCCTGTTACTAGTCACTCTTACCTAGGTTTCATCTGTGACTTCCAATTAGAGATGCTTAGTTTAACTATCTCTTTATAGTGCCCCTTTCCCTTTCCCTGCATTCGAGTTCATCTCTTAAATCACATTAATTTATAGAACAGCCATCAAAACCATCTTTATATGCCTGCCTTTGCATGAACTATATTTAGGGCCTTTTACCACTATGTGGCAAGAATAATTTTATTAATCTCAGCAGACAAGACCAAGTGTCAAGTCATAGCAAGGGCGATGGGAGCAAGGATTTCTCCCTGATTTGACCTAACACCATGAAGAGTTTCTTGGCTCCTTTAAAGCCTAGTTCTCCAGGTAGTGGAATACACCAGTGATTTAACACAATCCTTAACCCAGCCAGTCTCATGAGCCATGTATGGAAAGCCTGATACCTTGAACAACTGGCAGGTCCCTGAACAGTGAAGACCCAGTAACCTGTGAGAATGAAGAGCTTTGTGTTGGAGCTTAAGAGGCCAGAAGGAGGCAGTGTGATATAATAGAAGAAATGCTGAACTTGTGAGAGTCCTGGGTTTGGGAGCATCCTTACTCTGCCAACTTACTGGCCACATGATGTAGTCAAGACCTTTAACCTGATATTCTTCGGGTGTTAATGACTGCTGTGTATCAGGCACCATGCTTGGCATTGCTGATACAGTTGGGAATGTGGCAAGGTTTTGCACCTAAGTGTGACAACCATGGATATATTAGGGGGTTCTTATGAGAGTCATTTCTTTCGTTAACTTTAATTGTTCACAATATAAGTATTATTTCTATGAAAAATAACATTAATAACAAATATGCAGATCTTCACAGCAGGTTTAGGTCCTGATAAGCCCATCATAAGTTGAAAATACTATAAGTTGAAAGTGCATTTAATACACCTAAGCTACCAAACATCATAGCTTAGCCTAGCCTACCTTAAACATGCTCAAAGCACATAGCCTATAGTTGGACAAAATTATCTATCATAAAGCTTATTTCATAATAAAGTATTGACTATCTCATGTAATTTATCGAATACTGTACTGAAAGTGAAAAACAATGATTTTATGGGTACAGAATGGTTGTAAGTGCATTAGTTGTTTATCCTAGTGATTGCATGGCTGTCTGGAAGCTGCAGCTCACTGTCCAGCGTCACAAGAGTACAGTATAGCATACTGTTAGTCTGGGAAAAGATCAAAATTCAAAATTTGAAGTATGATTTCTACTAAATGTGTATCACTTTCATATCATTATAAAATAGAAAAATCCTGAGTTGAACCCTCCTAAGTCAGGGACCATCTGTATTTTAAAATCTACTTGGGAGATGGTCAATGTATCTAGCCAGGGTACCATATTGAAAAAAAGTACAGAGCAATATAGATGGGGAATGCACAATTATCCTGTGGGAAAAGATTTTTTATGTATTTATACTCACAAATAGCAAAATGTAAAAATATTACTGCCATAGATAGGGATATAAGGTGCTTAATAAGAATAAATTTCATGAAACTCACTTGTTTGTTTTAAAAGCCATTTTTCTGTGGGGATGGGTTGAGGACGATCTTTAGATCACCCTTCCATGGAGATGAAGGGACTTTGTGAGAGCTTCTTTGCTCATTTGGAGCCCAAGACACAGCCCTTGGGATCCTCCTGAGAGAATAAATACTAAAGGTAAATTAGGTCTGGGCACTCTTAAATGCAGTACACATTGGATGAATCAAAGTAACTGAGAAGAGCATTGTAAAATCATTAACTATAAAAAAGAGTTTACAAATCAATAAAAAGACATTGTCTCATTAAAAACTCTTCATGATGTATTGGTAAGTGAAAAAAAGACTTAACTTTCTTGTATATATAATCTTACTTTTTGGAAAAGAAGTATTTGCAGCTGTATAGAGAATATTAACTGTGGTTATCATTGGATGATATGGTTCTGGGCTTATCTTTAGACTTCTTTGTATATTTCTGCAGTAAGCTTGTACTTCTTTTAGCCCCATAAAAAATGATTATAAACAAAATCCTAAAATATTATCTTTGCAGGAAAGGGACTTTGTGCTGTTGACTATTTTATCCCAGTGTTTAAAATATATGTTAGAACCACCTGAGAGAGAGCCTGTAGAAATACAGCTTTGTGAATCTCACCCCTGGAGATGCTGGCTCAGTTGGACTGGTAGGAGGCAAGGCTGCCAAGGAAAGTGGAAGCAGATTCTAGACTAAGTCACACTAAAGAGTATCAGAACCATCATTTCCTATATAAACTCCGGGTTCATTGTAGCACAGGACAAAATCAGTATTCCAGTTGAAAATTATCAATTTCCCTCTGTCTGGGTTTCAGTAGTTGTTCTACCTGGCAAGGATGTATGTAGTTCACTTTCCCCTAAGATGCCTTTTAGGCTCCTGGGACTTGGAAAAGACAATTATCTACTAAATACCAGATGGCTGTGTAGATTAGCCCCAGTGAGTAAAAACACAGTGATTTGAACAAAAGACATGATTAGCTGATTGAATAACCACAGGCCATCTCAGTGCAGGTGTAGTAGAAACAAGGGCGGGGTCAGATATTACACTTCTGTTTTCTTGGGTTCCTTAACAATGCATTCATTATTTCAATGCTCCTCTGATGTTAACAGTAGAGAGACATGGAAGGAGGGCTAACTTATATACAATAGCATTCATTCTTTTTATTAAAATAACATTTTCCTTAAAATTTCATGAAAAGAGATAATGTTATTTCTCCATCTATTGTAGAGAATAGTAGTGTGTGCTTCCTGGGAGATATCTTTAAGAATTCCAAACTAAGCATTTGGCTCCATTTATGACTACGATAGAAAAACTAATATTCACACTGTCCACCTATGCATACACAGAACTATGTTGTATAAAAGGCAGGGCTACCCAAATGCATTAGACTACCATTCCATTTCTGCTTAGTTAAAAAAAACAAATTGAAAGATTCTAAGATGCTGCCTGTTGAAAACCCTGCTATAGACTCCAGGATTTCCCAGCTCTCAATTAACTAAGGTATAAATGGGGAGAGGAAAGATCACAGATAATTTAAAATATAGTTAAACCAAAACTAGTCAAAATGTAGTACCAAAATTTTAATTGTAAACATACTAAATTTAAAATGTATCCAATATTCAGATACACATTAACATTCTAAATTGTCATAAATAATTTAGGTATTGTTGGTATGCGTGCCCCTAAATATCATTTTACTTCCTCAATAAAGAAATGGTCAAAATATTAAAATCAGTTTTTAAAAGATCAAAGTCTGTTTTTTTTTGTGGAGAAAGAGAAATATCCCCAAAACATGATAGACATATCTGCTCATTAATATGTATTTCCAATTATAGACATGTTCTAAAATATAGTTATTTGTGCAGAATTGTGGGGATTGTGTTTTTGGACAAATTCATTATCTATGCATACCTTTCGGGTATGGTTAATCTTCATACTGATTTGTCCACTTGTAGATAATCAACAGTTAAACCTCATGTCACCTTGGCCCATGTTCCTATCATTTAGGTAAGTGAGGGAAGATGAGGCAACTAAAAGCAGTGGGTGTTATTAGCAAGAAACAGCTCTGTGAGGTGAACTGGTCATCAGTTGATTCTTTTTCATTATTTCACATACTCATTTGTAAGCCTGAGGTCATTGATTCAAGCTTTCTCCTGACATCTAGATAACTCACCATCAGATAGATGGTGATGGTGGTAGCTGACTTTCCATTAATCTATGCCTCCACTATTGTCATTTGTCCACACTTGCTAGATACATGAAAGAAGTTAGCAAAGCTATAGGATAAACAGGTAAATGTAATATGCTGTCAGAGAGTAACAGTTTTACTTGAGGATGTTGAGGGCAAAATAATATAAACAAGTTTTATTGATGATAAATTTAAAAATTATTTTATATTAAAGTGATATATACATATTACAGAATATAAAACAAAATGTGCATGCTTTTTAAAGATTAAACAGGAGACTTCAAGGAAATTTCCTGATTAGGCCACTTCCCACTATACTCAAGACTCCAGAATGTGAGATTAAGGAGGTGGTGGGGTGGTATATATTAGCTCAGTCTCCTTTTCTATTAGGTGTTATTCTGGGAAAAGATTGAGAAGCACTGCAAGGAGACATGAAGAAAAATAGCATAAGATTTGGTTAAATAGATGCCCATTTAGTTACAGTTAGGATGGGACTCCACTGAGTTACACTTTTTCTGAAAAAGCCTAACTCTTAAATGAGCCAAGCATAAATCACTAATTATCCTGTTTATGAGGACTCGAGATTTAGAAAATAGTTTAAAGAAATACAAATGGCTAGATTATAACAATTTCCTGATAGACAATGATTACTTTCCTCATTTACTTACTTTAATGTCTCATTTACCACTTTGGTGTCAAAAGTTCCCATGACTTAGGCATACCTGCCATCTTGCTGCTAAAGATTCGCTACAGACCTTGATGATGATGATGATGATGGTGGTGATGATGATAATGATAGTCAAGACCTACATAGTGTTTATTTGTATACCAGGTGCTGCTCTAAGTGGTTTGCATTTAACCCTCACAACAACCCTATGAGATAAAATTATTCCCATTTTTTCCATTTTACAGATAAAGAAACTGAGGCACAGAGAGTTCAGTCATTTTCCCAAGGACATGTTGCCTAGGGATGGTAGAACCAAGATTAGACCCTGGGCAATCTGGTTCCAGAGTCCTGCTTTTAAACATCAATTTTCCTGCTTCTCATCACATTTAGTGATTAGTGTTTACAAGGCTAGAATTCATGAAGTTGTTGAAAGTGATGTTGGAGAACGGCTTGTGTCACATGAACAACATTGACAAATGAGGATCTGGTCGAATTAGAAAATCAGGACACAGTAGGTGCTTCCAGAGAGAATCATTTGGCTAACAAAGGAAATAAAATGAAGCCCTGAAATAGATTTTTTAAAAATTACTTTCATTATGGTGCTCGCTTCAGCACATACACTAAAATTGGAATGATACAAAGAGGATTAGCATGCCCTCTGCAAGAGGATGATACACAAATTCATAAAATTACTTTCATTATGACTGTGCTATGAACATCCTGTATGAAGTAAAGGATGTATGGTAGATATATTGGGCAATTCTGTTGGGAAACACATATATACACACTCCAAAAAGCACTCCATTTATTCTTTATTCAGAGAATTAGTGACCGTTTTCCAGTTGTTTTCAGATAAAGACAATCTGTATTAAGGGTGTGCTTGAAAGTTAACTTCAGTCTAGTTATTGACATAGGAAGCTAGATAACCATAGGAAATTGATGGTGTCAAGTGTCAGTAAAGGTAGAGAGGAGTCTCATCTGTGATCAGTTGTCCTATCCCAGAAAAGAAGAGCCTGAGTTGGGACACCTGGGTGGCTCAGTCGGTTAAGCGTCTGCCTTCGGCTCAGGTCATGATCCCAGAGTCCTGGGATCGAGTCCCACATCGGGCTCCCTGCTCAGCGGGGAGCCTGCTTCTCCCTCTGCCTGCTGCTCCCCCTTCTTGGGCATGTGCTCGCTCGCTCTCTCTCTCTCTCACTGACAAATAAATAAAATCTTAAAAAAAAAAAGAGCCTGAGTGGCCTTATCTATGTCTTGTCACTCCAGATTTCTTTATTTTTCTTAATCATAAGAAAAGAGAAAACCACTCAGGGGCTACATTACTCCTTATGATTGCTCTGACCTAGAAAACCGTGTGTGTGTGTGTGTGTGTGTGTGTGTGTGTGTGTGTGTGTGTTTAATTTCACTCTAGTTGACAGCTTCCTTCCTTAGGTCTGTGCTTTTTGAGGGCAAAATCTGCTTTCTTTTTAAATACCAAATGCTTAGGGTCACTTCATCACTAAAGTTGCCCTTCCCACAGCTTAGAGATTATCTTCTTATGAAAGACCCCATTGCAAAAAAAGAAACATTTTTAGGAACATTTAAGTGGAACGTATAAAAGGTTTTCAAGGGGGTAATTTTGCTACAAGACAATTAAGCTTTGAGCAGACCAAATCCAGAAGCACGAACTTCAGGCAAACAGACGAGGGGAGATTATTCATTATCACCATATTAGTCTTGGACTTTGATCATTGGAATAGAGATTTAACCAGCTAACCAACATAAAAGCAGTACTGAGTCCAGTCTTGGGAAGTTTTCTTATCAAGTAGTTTGACAATGACCAAAATTAAATTTTAGCTTTTATGCTTTGGGCCCTGAAAATAAGAAGATGGTTAATATTGAGATAGATTCTAAATATTCAGAAGTCTTTTTGCCCAGAGCGTTTGAGTCAAAGATATTGTAAGCCACAGCAAACCTGTGGCAATAGCCTTTGTCTCTGAACCCCAAATCTTCTTTGCCTAGTACTCCACCTAGTAGATCCCATACTACCTAGGCAACCCAACTTTGGCTTGATGTGCCATCAGGCTGCCATTTATCTGTCAAATGTGTCAAGGTCTAATAGTTTCTGCATGCATTTGACTGCCAGCTTTTCATTCCAATTTTAATGGAAGCAGAATCCTTCCTTCCCACTGTAGATCAGTTAACCAGACTGCATTGAGGGCAGGGAAGATAAACTTTTCCCTTCAGGACCAATCGTCCTAAGCAGAATATAAAAGATTAAAATTTGCTTTTCTCCAGGAAAATTCATAGTTTTGAGTCTTCCCGGAGAGTTCTCTGATTTTAGATGTCACTGGGCTCTTCAAAAAGACCTTCTGGGGGGCGCCTGGGTGGCTCAGTTGGTTAAGCGACTGCCTTCAGCTCAGGTCATGATCCTGGAGTCCCGGGATCGAGTCCCGCATCGGGCTCTCTGCTCAGCGGGGAGTCTGCTTCTCCCTCTGACCCTCCCCCCTCTCATGCTCTCTCTATCTCATTGTCTCTCTCAAATAAATAAATAAAATCTTAAAAAAAAAAAAAAGACCTTCTGGGGATCACCCTTTAGAGAGAAAGCCTGAGATTCCAGTGTAGATTTATCAATGACCACATTTATGCATTAGCAAACCATGAGAAGGGAATCCTAGGAATACCAGTGTCATTAGGTAGTGGCAAACTATTGTCATGTTGCAGGTTTTGGGTTTTTTTTTTTTAGAAGATTGATTTATTTTAGAGAGGGTGTGTGAGTGAGCAGGGGGAGAGGGAGAGAGAGAGAATCTGAAGCAGACTCTCCACTGAGCATGGAGCCCAGTGCGGGGCTCTATCTCACAACCCTGAGATCATGAAATCAACAGTCAGATGTTAAACCAACTGAGCTACCCAGGCATCCCTCATGTTGCAGTTTTTATGTCTGCTGGTTTGAAGGTTCACGGTAAGGCATTTTCTTCCCATGTTACAGTAGTCTTGTAGCCTTAAACACTGCCTTAGGCATTTATTTCTGCTTCAGCCAGCAAACCATTCTTCCCTTATCCCAGGAGCATAGGGCCCAGCTAGAGGTATGCTGAATACAGCTGTCCTTTCAATGAAGCTTTCTGAAATCCAGGCATGGTACTCTTTGTATAATAACACCCAGATGAAATATGTCTTGATAAGACAGTGTTTCTGTAGGGGGTGCACCTGACTCAGTTTGGTCCTTTCTTGAACCAGCATCTTCACTGTACTCTCCAGTCCAGATATCTTTAAAGAAATAGCAGATGTTTAACTTTAGCTAGAAGTAGAGAAACCTTTCTAATAACAACAAAAATGTTAGTTGGGAATGTTGGAACCCTCACTCTGGAATGAGTAAGTAAGTAAATATATACATAAAACAAATGTATGTTTTCACAGATATTATACTAATACATCTTCCCCTCCTCCTCTTTAAGTCTTGTCTCATTGCAGCCCATCATTCTTTTTTTTTTTACTTTTTTTTTTTATTCTTATGTTAATCCCCATACATTACATCATTAGTTCTAGATGAAGTGTTCCATGATTCATTGTTTGTGCATAACACCCAGTGCTCCATGCAGAACGTGCCCTCCTCAATACCCACCACCAGGCCAACCCATCCTCCCACCCCCCTCCCCTCTAGAACCCTCAGTTTGTTTTTCAGAGTCCATCGTCTCTCATGGTTCGTCCACCCCTCCTATTTCCCCCACTACATTCTTCCCCTCCCGCTACCTTCTTCTTCTTCTTCTTTTTTTCTTAACATATATTGCATTAGTTGTTTCAGAGGTACAGATCTGAGATTCAACAGTCTTGCACAATTCACAGCGCTTACCAGAGCACATACCCTCCCCAGTGTCTATCACCCAGTCACCCCATCCCTCCCACCCCACCCCCCACTCCAACAACACTGTTTGTTTCCTGCGATTAAGAATTCCTCATATCAGTGAGATCATATGATACATGTCTTTCTCTGTTTGACTTATTTCACTCAACATAATACCCTCCAGTTCCATCCACGTTGTTGCAAATGCAGCCCATCATTCTTAAGGCACAGTGGGCTTATGGCTTCAGCATAGGAGACTGGTAAGACAGTGGGCGTGAAAGCAGGCAATAAGGAGTGAGGAGGCCCATTAAATTATTTTATGTGCTCCGTAGGTATAGAGAAAACAAACCTAGAGGGCCCAGCTCATGAGGTTCTTCTATAGTGCGGAGACTGGAATTAGGAAGAAGGAAAAGATGGTATGAGAAACAAAAGAAATGTCTGCCTCTGTCCTGGCTAGGGTAAAGATGGGAGAAAAGAAAATAAAAAGAGGGAGGGAGACAGAAGTGTGTGCAAGAGGGGCATCTCCACAGTTGTTCTACACTTTGGTGTTGGGAGACTGAAGACTTCAGAGAAGTGCTGCAGACTCAGGGTTCTGTCTCTGTGAAGGAGCACTGTGCGCTACAAACCCATATACAAACCCACTGTGCTCTGTAAACCCAAAGCTCAATTATCATGCAGCATGGTTGCTGACATGAGAAGCAGAAACATCACAGCAGATGTTGGGGTGGACCATTGGGCAGGGGGCAGAATGGTACAGGAGCACACTCTGGGGTCTGTAGCCAGCCAGAGCTGAGAGAAAGCTGAACAACAAAGGGGCATTGGCAAGACCTACCTGGGAGCATTGCTGAAGGTAAAAGAAGGGGCCAGCCTGGTACTTTAGCATCAGAGGCCAGAAAGACACATGGTGACAGGAAAACTAGAAGCATCACTGCAGATCAGTGGGTGCCAGGCAATGCATTTTAAAAGGCTGGCACAACGCCTGATGAGTACTCCCAACCCCCATCGGACGCTGGAGAGGGCTGGGTGCCATTATAGGAGGAGGGGAAGCTGTCAGGGAGTTTGAATATTTTCTAAAGGAGCTATTTAAATTATTGTATTGAACTAAAATGTAAACTGGATCGGAAATTTAGTCACAGTAAAGAGTGTTACATCAGATGTGATCAGAACTGATTTTTTAAAAAGTGGTTAAAACAGAATCATCAATAATTATATTTGTATATATCTTAAACATTTTAGTTTAATTTAATGTAAATGTACATTCATATAGCAGTCTTTTAATGTGGGGCCGAGACCTTTTCTTCGTATATTGTTCTTCCAATTAGACTTCTTATTTCTAGCATCAGTTACACCTATAATGCTTCATCTATAATTTTTTAAAAAGATTTTAATTTATTTATTTGAGAGAGAGTGTGAGCAAGAGAGAGAAAACTAGCAGGGGGAGCAGCAGAGGCAGAGGGAGAAGCAGGCTCCCCAGGGAGCAGGGAGCTCAATGTGGGGCTCAATCCCAGGACCCCAGGATCATGACCCGAGCTGAAGACAGATGCTCAATCGAGTGAGCCACCCAGGCGCCCCTTCATCCACAATTTCTAATTGTATTTTCTTTACTAGGTCAATAATTCTTTAAGCCACTTGCAAAGAAATTTGAGTATAGAATCTTAGTTTTTTTATAGTTAAAATTTGTTTACAGTTGCCTTGATACCTGATTGAAAGCATTGTTAAAGGAAACCCACCTTAATTAAGTCTATTCAAAGCATTCAATTTAGTTTTCATATGGACAGCCCTTTGTCTTCACATTTTTTTCCTGTTTTGCAGTATGTTTAATTATATTATGTAACTAAAATAATACATAAGATGGACATAAACAGATTTGGGGACACAACTGACCC